GAGAGGGGAACAAAAATATATGTATATATACAATTTTCTCTCGCTTTATACAAACACAAACGCATTTTATACATTTGTGTTTGTATAAAAGCGAGAGAGGCGAGCGAGACTGCCACCAAACGAGAGTGGCGAGCGAGATTCCACCAGAGAGAGTGGTGAAAATAACAATAGTTTGCTATAGGGTACAATTAAATCAAAGTATATTTATAGCATTTAATTTGAATTAATAGTTTGCTATTATATATAATTTTCCCTTCAAAATATTATATATCTTACCACTAATTAAGAGTTTTCTACATATTTTACACTTAAATACATGTATTCTTACTACTTGATACACAAAATAAGGAGAGAGGCGAGCGAGATTGAGGAGAGAGGCGAGCGATGTTCGTATGTATCTCAGATACATGCTAGATACATGTATCTGTATGTATCTTGAGTGTTTCGCATATATCTAAAATATCATATACATTGGAGAGTGATGAGCGGGATGAGAGAGAGGCGAGAGGGATTTGTTATGTATCCAGATACATGCGAATCCCCTTGGATACAATATATCTAGAATAAATTATACATAAATTTGACTTTATCTATCTAGACGTATCTGGAGGCACAGTAGAATTTATGCAAGTTCTCTAAATAAAAATAAGCTTTCCTTTTTCATGTGTCGTCTCAATTGACCCTTCACTTAAAATTCTTTTATATATTTTTTATCATTGATTTCCGTCAAATTTTGAAAATTTGTCTTAAAAAAAATTAAGCTTCAATACTTCTATTCATAATTTATTTATTTTTTCAAATAAAATACATATGCAAACGCAATTTTATATTTCCAAATATTACAATTTTAAAAAATTCAAATTTCGACTTTAAAATTTATGACCAAATGAGAACTTAATTTTGGAATTGATATATTGATCACAGGCACAATATTTGATTTTGAAACGTTAAGCATCGGAAAATGCTCTATTATATCCCATATTAGCATCAAACACATCAACTTTTTTATCGGAAAATGTATTTATTGATTTGGAGTTTAATTCTTATAAACACTGCCACTGGTTATCAGCATTTTCTTCTCCATTTTCATAACAAAAATATTCTAGATAGTATTGTAACTTAATTCTCTCCCCTTTTCCTGCTGTCTTTCTTGTTTTAATTTGAACTCCATCATCCTTTAAGTGCACACTAACCATCACGAAAAATCTACAGAATTTACTATAACCATATAGATTGTTATATGGAATGACATTATGTGTAGCGGAAAAAATTCTTGGCCTACGTATCCGTAAGTAAATATGTATTTTAAACAAAAAGCTTATGCAAGTTTATATTAGCAGATTTGGGTTTCAGACTCAAGTTCTTTTTTTTTTTTATGTCATTGAGTATTCTAAGTTAATAATCCTTACATATTCAATAAATTTATTAAGACAAATATAAGATAATTTGAACCAAAGTTACTAAGTCCGATCGACGGACCCCTTATATATATTTTAGTTCCATCGCATACATATATTCACGTACACGAAAGATCATATAGGTCAAGTTGCAGATTATTATGTAGACATGTACATGCCTTTCATTTTTATTTTATTTTTGTCGTGCTTATTTTATTAGTTCTGATTTATTTGTTTAAGTACCTGGTGCAATTATTTTATTTTTCTTATGCACATATATATATATATATATATATATATATATTGTATATCAAACAAACAAAAAACGTCTTCTTGAAAAATATATAGGCAAGGTTTACTCATTGATTATTTCTTAGCTACATAAATATTAGTACTACCTTGATTTTTAGATGAGTTAAGTTCACTTATCGAACAAATAATATTTTCATGAGTTAATTTTGTCATTCCCACCTATATCCCCATTATCACGGCGGCTACCACATAAGTTGTTCGGACTTTTCTAAAATACCATTGGGTGTGTATCAGATCCATCAAAAATAGTGTATTTTTGGAGGATCCGACATAGATGCAGCAACATTTTTTGGAGAGTCTAAACAGCTTAGGCTACAACCACTACTGTCACTCTGATGACAATTGGATGATCATTCATTTTGCCAATTTATGTTTGGTTCAGCTATACATGTAACTTGTAAGTAGCTAATTACTGTACAAGTTGACTTCATATAAATTTGAATTGGTGTTGCAGGGAATTAAATTTGGGGGACTCTATGATCTGTACTTGCTATTTCATTTTGAATTTGTAATGTACTACTAAAGAGCAGTAGTAATAAATTAAAAAACCTAGAGTCGAGTGAGTGTAAGCAAACACATTTTGCAATAAATTTTCAGAAGCTTTCAAAAGAGCAAAAACAGCTCATTCAATGCAAAACACGGATCCTAGCCGTTGCCCTGACCATATCAGACGTTGGGCTAATCCCCACTCAACGCCGAATCTACAGTGTTAGTTACTTATTCACGTAAATTTAATAAGTACTAACTTTTAATTGTACATATTCATATCCACATCACGTAAATTTAACGATGATGTTCGTATCAATTTATAACTATTTCATTGAATTAACTCTCATACATATGTTACTCTAGGGTGTGCATGGTCGGGTTGGTTCGGATTTTTCAAATATTAAACCAAACCATTTGTGTCGGATTTTTAAATCTATAAACCAAATCAAACCAATAAAACTCGAGTTTTTCAACCTCGGGTTTTTTTGGATTTTTTCGGGTTTTTTGGATTTTCGGGTTTTTCTGCTAAAATATTCATACAAACATATAATTTACTTGTACTTCAAATATTTCTTCAATCCTACTAAAATACAACTATCTAAGGTGTTTCTTAGAAATACAACACAAACAATGATATGATTAATGACACTAAAATATCCAAAAAATAATAATAATAATGAAATCGAGTAAAACAAATATTGCAAATTAACAAGTCATAATGAAAATGATCATAATTTAAAGGGATAAGGGTCTGAAAAATACCCCAACATTGGTCAGATTTGTTGTTGCGACACTAAACTTTCATGAGGACCTATTACCTCCGTAGACTATTTAATACCGTATTTTAAACATATATATTTGCCCACGTGGACATAAAAAATAATACAAAATTATAAATAGTAATGTGTCCATGTGGACACATATATACCTTTAAAATACACTATTAAATAGTTTATGGGGTAAAAAATATGGTATTAAATAGTCTAGGAAGGTAATAGGTCCTTATGAAAGTTTAGTATCGCAACAACAAATCCGACCAAAGTTAAGGTATTTTTCAGACCCTTATTCCTAATTTAAAAGTACTAAATCATGCTAAAATAAGTTTAATAAGTATCAGTTACATGACTAAATATTAAAGCAAATTAAAATTAGATTATGTACTTTTAATTGTCTAAACCAATGTAAAACCAAAGAACAAATATCCAATATTATTGTCATTCTTAGTATTAAATTGATTTTCTTTTTGCATTAGTATTAATTTGATTTTGATTTAAGTTTTATTATAATTAGCAACATCTATAGACTATAATCTTTATGGAATCATTCAAGATTTAAGTTACAAACTTGAAATAATATATTAAAAGATAAAAACTATGAAAAAGTAAAAGAAATATTTAAAAATTATATCAAAATAAACATTTTTATGTATAAAATAAAATTTTAAAATTATATATATAATGTCGGGTTGGTTTGGTCTCAGGTTGGTTTTTTTAGTTAAAACCAAACCAAGTCAAACCAACCACTAGTCGGATTTTTTTTCCCGATTTGACTCAATTTGTGGTTTGATTCGATTTTATACACCCCTATATGTTAGTATTTGTTACGCACACAATAATCAAATACGTAGGTTTGTGCCTAGCTACACAAAACTTAAATGTAGCAGTAATTAAAGTATCAATAGTTGATCATCTAACATAATTAACTAAGCTATCACTGGTGTTGGGAGACATTAGATAAGCTTATCCCAAACAAGCAATATAAAATAATTATCATTGCTTCAAACGTGCAACCAATAATGCAGAAAATAATACGTTAGCTTGAATACATAACAACCCAAATTAATCCAGTGCTTCAATTACTTAGATTAAGTAGATCATTCAAATTAAATGTGTTCAATAAATAATGCCTTCAGTTATTTAAAAGGAACTTCATTAAAATGAAAGTAGTTTGCGTATATTTCAACTAATTTTATGAAATACTCAGCAAACACACAAACACTAGATAACCTCTTCAAAACTTACATAGATCGGAAGAAATCACTTAGCGGATTCTGAAACGTTGAGACACAATATATCAAGTAGACATTAGAACAAGACCACCTTTTGATGATCAATTTCTTTCATATAATTAAATATGTAACAGTGCATTAATTAATTAACTAGATGATGATGAATTATTTGTTGCAGTAGGGGACTGAAGTGGAAACAAAGGCAATAGTTCAGGAGGTTCAGCGCCTCTAGGAGTACTTAGTGGACTTGGATGCAAATAAAATCCTTTTTCAGCAATGGCTTTTTCTTCTTCCACCTCCATCGGCGATCTCGGACTGCCACGTGTCAGCATTTCCAGTGGTGAAATTGGCGAAGTCAAAAAGCTTCTCTTCCTAGCTGATGAAGAAGGAGAAGGAGAAGGTGAGCCGACACCGAAGCCGCCTCCATTGTTGAGCATGATCTCGAGCTTTCTCGCACTCTGCCTTCGCTCGTGCAGCTTGAAAGCCGGTCGTCGAGGCCCAGCTGGTCCAGGCCCAGTAACAGGGAGCTTCACGGAAGACGAATCTTGAGTTGCGCCAGTGAGTCGTTGAACAACGGCTCGGAAATTGGACGGGTCGGCTTGAACGAAAGTGGTATTGGGCGTTGATGAATTCGGGTCAGAAGCCATGATCTAAGAAGAAGAAGAAGAAGGAGAAACGGAAGAAATTAAAGGGCATATAAAAATAAGATGTTTTTTTTTTTTGCGTATGAAAAATTGTTGTGCTTTTATTTTGTGTGTTTGCTGGTTTGGAGCATCTTATCGAGGATTGTAAAATTGTCAGATACTCCAACGAGTAGACTTTGAGGCATATAGGGACAGCAAACAGCACAAATATATACAGATACTCTTTCCGTTTCAATTTAATTACCAACATATCTTTTAATTTTATAAAAAATACAAAACGGAAAAAGAATATATTTCTTACTGGTGTTACGTTTTTGATAAATTTCTTATCTCATATCTTCCATGTGGGATCCACAACGTTTAACTTAAACCAAAAAGAAATATGGTTGAATTAAGTCAATGAGGGAATGATTGTTGTCGATAATTAAATTGTGAAGAGGGTAATAATTTTTAAGGGGGGTACATTATGGACTATGGAGAATAGTGGTTACTGGTTACGTAGTTAAAAAGTTTGAAATTTGAAGGGGGAATAGTGGGTGGCAGTGTAGGAAAAATTAGAAAACAGAGAGAAGGCAATAAATGGGAAAGAGCTGGCAGATATATATTATTATTGCCAGCATTTTGTAACGGGAAACGAGGAACTTCCCCTCCGTTTTTCTTTCTTTCAAAAAATAAATAAAATAAAATATCATAATGCTTGTTTTTTTTTTTTTTAAATAAATAAAAATTCTTACCTGGTATTTAATATTCGCTTTGAGGGTACTTTTATTTTATTTTCAGGACTTTCAGTTTAGATATCTAATCAAAGATGAATATAAACACTTACCACAATTTTTAACAATGAATCAAAATCATTTTTACTAAGACAGTTCATCAATGAAATAAATAAAGGAAAATGGGTCTGAAATAAAAGTCTGGAATGCACCTTTGCCCTTAGATTACGTGAACTTGGGACATAAAAGCGTCTGTACAGTGGCAGAAACGAAATAACACACCACCCCGTGTCCTGCAGTTCCCTTGCTTTTTCGCTTAATATATTGAGCGGTATGATTTGTTTTGATTGAATATTTAAATAAATGATAAAGTATTATTTAAGTCGTAAAATTTTATACATGTCCGAATTAGTTAAGGCGGATGTTATGACAGTAGAAAAGTAAGAGTATGAGTACAAGTTAGATACGAAGTTTGTTAAATTTACTATAACTAATTATGGCGTAGTTTCTTTGCTTTACTACACTTGTCTTTCTAATTTGGTTGCTTTGCGGGATTGCCTTTCTTTATAGTTTGTTTTATTGTAATGAAATTACTCTTTCTTCACGGGTGCCACCTTCAATTTTCTTCCTACAAAAAAGATATCCACTCTCTCTTCTTTTTTCTATTGAAAGAAGACGTATCATTAGTATAGACATACATCATATGACATAATTCAATCGTATGTACAGTGGCTAAATGGTCCATTAACAAAACATAGCTTTCCAAATGACTGATCATAATGTGTGAAATTATTGTAAAACAAATTTGAGCTCGCCCAAACAAGATTATTTGAACTATAATTAGGTCGATTCTCTTTTATATGTGAATTAGATGCAAGACCTATAATTGAGCCCTTTTTAGGGTATGACTATTACAATTTTTAAATAATAAGAGTACTAGCTAATTGTTAGGATATATTTTGTGTTGTTATTTTATCATCGAACATTTTCCATCAATATAAATAGAGTACAATTCAATTGTATATAAACTTCATTTTTTCACACTATTATCACAAAATTTTGTATCTAGCTCGGATGTTATATGTGTAGTAATATTATTTGAAATTGCTAATTATATGCAGAGTTGGATCGAGGATTTGAAGTTTGTGAATCTTTATAACGAATTTAAATTACTAGGATTATATGGAGGATTTGAAATTTGTGGAAAATAAAGAATGGAATAATATCAGCTCGATATGTGCATATATATTTTATATATATGGATCCCAGGCCTCGCGTTTTTGAAAAATGGCTACAGATGTTTGATTGACAGAAGAAAAAAGAGAGTACTTTGGCTGGAATCTGAATGGCTAATGCCAAAGAAATATATATAGGCTCATCCATTTTTAGAATAATCGAAATGACAAATCATGAATGCACTTTACTCATTGTGCCTCAAATGTCAAAAAGGAGTTTTCAAATATCAATCACGTCACTGCAAGGCCATGAGAAAAAAAAAAGACGCAAATTTAAAATTTGTATTTTATAGGTTAATATAGCGATATCGAATTAAAATACGATAATAATTAAATTCCAATATAAAATAAACACTCAATATACCAAGTATATGAGCAATAGCGGTTGAAATGATATAATCGATTTCAATTAGTTTGAAACTAAAACGTCGACATTCAGATTTAAAATAAATGAACTTTTAAGTTCATCCAAATAAAATAAGTATATCATCTAAACTTGTCCGAAAAAAGTTTATGGGCCGGCAACTTTATCAAATGTTGAAAATCAGAGAATTGATCATGAGAAATATTTAAATTATAATGATGAGAATCATGTGTGGACGACAAAATCATAGCATATTAGTTAACCCCTTTTTTAATAACGCGATTAATGGTTAAATTAAACACATTGGTTAATTAATTAGTACTAAATAAACTATCGGATCAGCCGTGTTTCCTGTTCTCCACTATGGATAACTTTTTTGTTATACTTGCTGTTCAACAATAGTTGTTCACGTATTAAAAATAGTTGTCTAATAATATTTGTTCAGTTTAAAAAATTAAGAGATAATTTACTTTTTATGTCTATTTTACCTTTGCTATTACATAACCATTTATCATCTAATACATTTCTCAAATCATTAAATTTAATAAAGTTAAAGAATAAAATAATATATTAACCCTACTTTATTTTTCATGTGTCAGTCAAAATGAACAACTATTATTGAATAAAAGAGAGAGGGTGTATTAAACAATTATTGTTTGGTGGACTTGAGAAGGAAGCTACATTGACTTTTAAGAATAAAGCGGTCACAATTAATTATTGTTTTGTAGTAACATTATAATTTATTATTTATTTTTATTACTAATTATATTTTTTAGAATATTATATTGTATTATATTTAAAGAATAATATAATAAAATCATATTTTTTTTATTACTATTTATAAAAAATGTGTGAAATAAATACTGAACAAGTAAAAATGGACGAGAAACAACTTATTATCCTAGTGTTGGCCACCGTCTTCTATATATTCTTTCTATATAGTACCAGCACCGTCTATTTATTACTCTATGATAAAATAGAAAAAATTGCTAAGATTTTTCATTTCAGGCTGTATTATATTCGTTTTCCATGTAAAAGGAAATTGCCATCATTACGATTTACGACTTGTCTCATCTTAAATTCTAGTCTATAGAAATTATCTTTATCCAATTATCTATAGTATATGTTGGTCTTTTTGATTATGAGAAACAAAAATTTATTGTAATGAATATAGAGAGTCTAGCTTAACTTCATAAAAGCTGGTTTGATGAAGAACACTCTAATAATCTTGATTTTTTTAAGGATTGATATGTGGGAGCTACTTCAGATTATATAATATGAGTCTATCTTACATCAATATCATGTTCAAATAGAAAATGTTAGGTATTGCATAATTCAAAATTATATAAAAAGACAATAATTCATTTATGTTGCGCAACATTGCGCACTCCAACAATAAATAAAGGACTTTAAACCTTAGACTAGTGTTGTCTTGAAATACATGTTTTTTTGAGACGTTTCATATGAATCAACTAATTTTGATTTGTTAAAATCAGCTACCTATTCAATTTTATCTGTAATTATTACTTTATGGAAAAACATTGTAAAAAACATTTCTCTAAAGTTGATTTCCAACTTATTCGTAATTTAATTTACAAGGATTTAATAATAGTAAATCTAAATCATATCACCAAGAAATCACATTTTAGTACCTTACCCACTATTTTGGTTTAGGCAGACGTACTTACTGGGCTACGGCCCAGCCTTATCTCTAGCAAAAGCCCACTCAAAAAGCCGTAAAGGTCAGTGAATGGGCCATTGGGTCAAGGATTATGTCCAATATTTCGAGTTGTAATAACATTAACGCGTATAGCCACTTGTCAATCGTAAAATTGAAAAATAGTCATACAAATCGAAACTCTAAGATAATGACTATGTCTGCAATAATATAGAATTTAGCCCATTTGATCCGTTCAAATCCAATCCAACTTGCCATTTTGACACAGTTACTTTCAGTCATTGTAACTAAGCAAAATCTATTAAAAAATTAACTCAACACAGGTAAATTCAAAACAACTTAAATAAGTACTAATAGCATTCATGGAAACGGCTCATAACAAGATTTCAAACCAAGGAGCCTCAAGACAGGCATATATCAACATACGTTTTTCTTCATAAGAAAAAAGATGAAGCTAATAGATGTTAAGTGAAACATAAGTTCTCTTTATTTTTCTATAAACTTAAAATACCATATGTGGCTACCAGTTAAGTACATTAGAAAGAAAACTTCATGTATGTAAAGTGATTTATTAAAATCAAGCATAACTGGTATTAAACAGAAAGAAAAGAACCTAAAACATCAATGATATGAAGGCAGTTCAAGTGTTCGATCGGAGTGAATTATAGAGATAGATCAGCCAAGTCAAATGATCTTGAAACAGCTCGGCACCAAGAATCCGCCTTCTTTTTCCTCAATTCTTCTTCTAACACAGGTTTGAATATAGTTGCTTGCTTCAGCTTTTCTCCAGAAGCAAATATCTCATCCTCTGTGTAGACTCCAACAGCTAATCCAGCAGCATAGGCTGCCCCAAGAGCTGTTGTTTCTATATCAGCTGGTCTTACAACTGAACTACCCAACAAGTCAGCCTACATTATGTAAAATGTAAAATTAGGAGCTCCAGTTAACTGAATCTAAACACTTTAAACAGTCCAAAACTTAAAGCCACTGCAAACATATCTAAATGTTTATCACGAGTTGGACATTGAGAGAAGTTCAAAATCACGTGGGGGAGGGGGGCTGCAGAAGAAGAATAACGCATGAAAACTGAAAAAGTAAATCAAACCTGAATTTGCATCAAAAGGTTGTTGACCGTAGCACCACCATCCACACGGAGTAAGAATTCTGTTTTGTCACTCTTAGCTTCAGCATCCTTGTGCATCGAATC